GCTGCTGCTGCTGCTGCTACCTCTCGAGCGGCTACTGCTGCTACCCCTACGATGAGGAGGACCACGACGACGACGGCAGATTGTCACTTAACCATGCTGATTATTAAGGCATATGCCCATCCTTCTACCAGGTCATCTAAGTTAAGCTATCGCATGGCATAGAAACAGCTTCAACGTCACGTCTCAGCTCACATCCGGAAGACCGATGGCATTAAAGCTCGTCCCCAAGTATATTATATTATTGTATATTATGGTATAATACATTATTACACGACGCAAAGTGAATGAAAAAATATCGTGTAAGACATTATAGTATTTTAATTTTTTTATATATGACAGACTATAATAGTACAAGTTATAGTATAGTATATGAAGCAAGTCAGGAGCCGACTCCGGAACCCCCTACGCCTCCTGTGGCCTGGCTCCACAAATTGATTTTGTCTCCCTGATGGCAACCCTGCCGCCCAGAGGTTTTTGTTTACGGGTTTAGGTTTTAGGGTTTAAATTTAGGGTTTAGGGTGGATATGGGTGGGTTTAGGGTTTAGGGTTTCTCAAGACCTAGTGACAAAACTGGCATTGAAGCTGTTGTAAAATCATGATGGACTATGCCCTGCTTGGGTGTTGCGATGCAGAGTCCTGCAGGGGGAACTAAACGATCAAGCCTCCAAACCTCAAGCAAGACCAGCAGTGGCGGATATTGTAGCATTGTAGCAGCCATATTACTGTCCCTACTCATGCTCGCGCCGCAGCAACAATGCTAATTTCGGCAAAGCTTGGATTCTGTGTGCATTCTGATGACGTTGGTTCGGGTCTGCCCGGGCCACCCTCCCAGTCAGTTCTGGAGGGCAGGGAGGGTAAGAAACATCACATGGGTAGTGTAGTATTTTGGGGGACCGAAACAGGGACCCTACAGTAATTTGAGAACTATTCACATCTTCGCAACATGTTCGATTTCGGCCACAGCCCAGTCTGGGTTGTCAGCGTTTCGGTTTCAGGCCATGCAAGGAGCAAGTACGCAAAAAGAGGAAGATGACTGGCCTTGCTGAACAGGGTCCCTGGTCCCCCTGTCCCCGAGTCATACTCCCGTTACTTCAGGACGCCCAAAGTAGGCGATTTTGGGGTTTCATGTTAACAACGGGTCGTTGATGTGTGTGTGGTTCCAGGGCTTTTCGAAGCCAAGGAGGTCGAAGTGTTTGCGCCCGGCCTGGCGGCGATTCCCCGGCTCATGAAAGGCCCCCCCCATTCCTCCGTCTGGTCGTCGATGGGTTCAGCGTTTTGAGGTTTGGTGTGGAGGGAGTGGTGTCGGGATATTGGCCTGCACTCTCGGGCATGTTACATGTTGGTTTTGTCTAAGGTTTGAGGTGCCCGGCAGATTCAAGAGACATGGATTGAGAGAGGCAGGTCTTTGTGGGACAACTCTGCGAAGAGGTGCATTGTAAGGTGCTCAAACCGCCAACTCTATGCAGGGTCTTATTCTCTCTAACGTGGGCCGGTGGTGGGTCTTCTAATTCGGTTCCCACCAGAGTACCTGAAGGAGTCGCAGCTTATTGAATGAAAGGTTAGTCACGTAGAAGCCGCCTTGGCTTAGAGTAGCCACTTATTTATTAGTGAGGCAATCCTTGACCGCTACCCTAAACCACCTTCGAAGTTGAACCCAACAGCATACAATGCTAAGCCTGAAGGTGCCAGCTTCCTTTGAGCTGCGGCCGCTGTTTGCGGGAGCCGGGCAAAAAGGAGCTGAGGGGCCTTGTGTAATTCAGCGTTTTGGGGGTTAAGCATGGTTTAGTAGGGTTGCATGCTCATTTTGGATCTTTGGGGTATGCTTCTGTTGTAGCCTACGGCCGCTTATGGTTCATGCTTTAAGCTTTGTGGGGTTAGGCCCCCCGGAGGGCATCTGCAAGCCTTTCGTATGGGGGTCTCGGACGATGTTGAAGCTGAACGGTGGATTGAGATGCAAGGGCTAGACGGGACATGAAAGGTCTTCACCGACTTGTGTTGGGTGAAATCCTCTGACGGGCCAACAGCCCGATTAATGTGCTCAGGTTTAGGGCTGAGGGGAGCAGCAGTCGCTATTGGTTTGGTTTGGCCAGGCGTTGTTCGAAGCATGTTGCGAGAGGATGGGTCTGTCGCGAAAAATCAGATGTCCGATTTGTGGATGCAATTGTGCATGCGCAGCAATACTTAATTACGAGGGGCGCTAATGTGGTGAGGATGATGCAGGAGTAGCAAGGGACGGAAGTGTTTGAGAGAAGGCTGAAATCTAGTGCACATGTTTTCAGGGGTGTTTAAGCCTCATACCCAAGTCCCAGTGACCAAAGCCCATATCTTAGCCAACGCACAAACCGCCACACACACTGTCTGCAAACCCGTATAGAAGCTCGTTCCACCCGGTATCAACTCCTTAAAGTTGCAATCTGTAAAAGCCCGCTCGGCCCTCTCGAGCTAAATCCTTTGAGTCTAGTAAGGTTTGACGTCACCTTGGAGCCCGCACCGGATCAAGGAGGCTGGGTTTGGCTCGGCGCAGGGGCCTAGGGTCTGTTTAGGTTCAAAAGGTCTTCAAAGGCTGTAGGATCGACCGTCTAGTGCTTTCGGTTTATTGAACGTACACAGACTCTAGTGGCTAAGTGTCGTTGAGTGCACTATAGGTCACAGACTAAAAGCCAGGCAGCCAAGAGAAGGAGCACCTACATAGGGCGAATAGGCATTGAGATTCGGACAAGGCATCGGGTCTTGTTCTAACCTTTTGCAAGATTAGCTCGTCAGGCACCATCAGCACATACCACGACGACAAAGCCTCATTGCCCTGACTTAGGTTCTCCCGCATCTCACGATAGGGTGTTCTGAAGGCAAGACCTACAGGGCTTGGGGGGGGGTCACACTCATGAAGCACAAGCCCTACGACACTCTTGAAGGCGCCTTGAACTGAATCGAAACCGAAGCCTGAGACCTGACCCTACATAAACTCACTATTGTAAACCTTCTAGATGGTCCTGAACGCCGGCTTGCGAACCCACACAAGCCAGATAGAGACCCAAACCCGAGCCAAGCCCTCACCCATACAACCATGTTAAAATTTTACCAGCCTGTATAAACGCCTAAACGCTGGACCAGGCCTCGTAGGACCTTCCTTGTACAAGGCCCCTGGGTACCTTTAGGTGTGTGTTCGGTTTTTCTCTACGGGTTGATATGTGGCAGTGGCTTTGTTCGGAGCTTGTCAACTGCCTTGGCTCTCCCCTTGAACGTCTTTCAAAGCCCAACGAACTCCCTGCGGTGCGACTCTGTCAGCTGGGCTGGTGGGAAAAGAAACCCCGGACGCCGACCCAACACTGTGGAACCTCGCCTGGCATGGCCGAGTTGTGAGAGCGTAAACCCTTAAACCCTAAACCAGAACTTCTTGCAGGCTACCCGAATCATGTCGTCACGGCAACGGCCACAGTGTCCCTTGCCGGCTCTGAGAGACGCACTTGCACTTCGGGGCTCACATGAATCGGTAACCCTGTAACCTTGGCCCTTTATGTTGCGGTTTGTACTTTAGTAGCTGAGTGAGTGCACCTTACGCTTGTCGGAGTAGGTCACCACTTAGAGAACTGGAAATGTACACTTCTAGGGGCTTATGTTTCCACAACTAAGCTATATAGTTATAAAACCCTACAAGCATGAGTCCAGATCGAGGTTCCGGCTCGTGAATTGCGGCGAATCAGGGTAACGGAATTTCGGTCCGAGAGTTCCTGCTTTCTGTCAGAGGTCCCAGACCTTCCAAAATTCCTTAGTTAAGGAATATATTGAAACTAAAGTAGGATCCCTCATATGATTAAGGTTTACATTCCTTAACCAAGGGATGTTGGAAGATCCTGACCGTTTTCTTCGGGTCCATTTTGTCGGTACAACACAAACGGGAAAAATCTCCAAGCTGCATCACTACCGTCAAGTTCATCATCTCATAGTGATATTGCGCTTCATGTGATCGCGCTTCCTGCGATGCCTTGAAAGCCACGCCATAGAGCTGGATCCTCATAAGACCACCTGAGTTTGATTAGAGAGTCGGGTGGAGCCTCGGGAAGAATATCTTCAATTCAAGATGCAGTTTCGGCCAAGGGAGACCCCAGTCCAGCCTTCCTTCTTGGTGATCCAGAGCTGATATGCCAGGAGCCTCATGATGAGCTCAAACATGGTGCGGGCCCTAGACAATTACCAATACTATGTTGGGGGTTCCTTATTATGATTATTATAGTCATAGTAGAATATACCCCAAAACCCTATTCTAATTATTAAGGCGCCTATAGTAAGTTCTTGGAGCGACCGGGCTTGATCCGTTGATGGAGACATGGCGCGATACACCGGATTTCTTCTGGGGGTGAGTTGGCATGGTTGTCGGCAGATCGCCAGAATTGCAGATTTAGAGATCGCGTGTAGGTTTCGCCTGGGATTCTTGTAAACGCTTTCAAACTATCGTATGGCTACCACCACTGGACAACGGTCGCTGTACCTCTGCATTGCAAACTACTCCCTGCGCTCCCTAAAAGACTTGTATAGAAGCCCCAGTAATCAACCATTATACTATTTTGAAGGGTTGAGGTTTGCACCAAAGGTTCTTTTGCATGCTGTATGGTTCCAGCTAGCGGTGGACTGACACAAGAAGTCACACATTTTGCAACAACCAATCAGTGCCAGCAGTGGACTGACTGGGCGGTGAGGATCTCAGCAGCAAGTGCTTTCATCAGCTCCAGCAGAAACGAGTTTCAGTGAGTATAGGGCCCATGACCTGTATTGACGGCATGGCCACGGGTAGTGAGAGTTGCAATGTTTCAGCCGCAAGATCAACCAACTCTGCTACACTGAGATTGTGCATGGACGCAGACCACATAACGCCACAGGCGCGGTCCCCAACAACCGTGAGGTTGCAAGAATGCGGCGCTTGGAGGGTTCAGTTCTCCACCGGTTTAGAGCAGGGAGCCTTGCTGGAGGGGCCTTAATACTTGCCTGTCGTATTTTTTGGGGACGGTTCCTTAATTTCCAGGATTCCATAGTTATATACTATAGTATACACCAAAACCCTATTGAAAATTATTAAGGACCCTATGTTACGCAGTAATTAGGGCTTTCGCATGCGGGCTTGGCTTTGGCATCTCAGTCCTTCGTCCTACCCCAAGCCCCAGCATTTCCATCGAAGCATTGCAAGCAGAGTCGGCATGGGGCTCACCAGAGACAGAATTTTTTGCTCTTAACCAGACCGAAGACAGCATTGCATTGTGCAGGAAGTGTCCCGAACATGTTGTAGGCATCTGGGCCATGCATCCAGCAGCTGCCTCGATGCTTTGGGTAATGGGGCCGGCTCTGCAAGTTGTGTTGCTGGCAGATGCTGCGCTGCTTGGGCTTCAGACAGCATGTGGGGTGCTGCCAGGATTGTGGCCAGAAGCTAGCAACCGATAATGATATGCGGTAGCATCACACAGCAACCACCCGCCATCAGTGCTACTACCGCTACCGCCATCGCCGCAGCATCTGCAAAAAACGCGGTCTTAGGCACTTGAAAATGATATTACTACCCTAACGACACATGGCTACTGTAGGTGTTGTTCTGCTGCTTGGTGCTGATGAAAAGACACAGCCTGCTGAACTGAGGGCCCCTGTTGATCCGCGATGTTGGGCAGATGAGTTCACTGGCCAGAGGGAAGCCTGTTGCAAAGATGCAGCCGTTGGGGCCAATTTGGGATGCTGGGGGGGCCGCTTCTTGTACGGCAACTGCTGTTTGGGAGCCTTGGTTCGCAATGAGCACATCTGTATGTTGGAACCTGAACCAACGGGTTGGTGATCTGGCACTTCGAGAACCAATCAAGGAGTTGGCTTTTGGGATTTTGCCAGGAACTGTTTCTTCAGCAAATCCCAATTTGGTGAGGAGGATCTGGTCGTTGAGTTTTTTGGGTGGCAGGAAAAGACAGCTGGAGTCTATGTTGAGATCGGAGCCTTTGATGGCATCACATATTCCAACACGCTTTCGTTGCACAGCTGCCTTGGTTGGTCTGGTATGTTGATTGAAGGCAGCCCCCGCAACTTTGAGCGGCTGCGTCGAAACTTGAAAACCACCCGCCCCAGCAATGTGGTTGTCCACTTCGGCGCGGTCTGCGCACCTCCAGAATCAAACCTAACGTTCCTAACTGGCAAGCAAGCGGGAAAGGCTGAGCATGGGGCATGTGACGGCGACGCAAAGCACTTGTTGCCAGCTGCACAGCGCAAGTCTCATCACATTTGTAACATTCATGTTGATACTGCTACCGTGCCTTGCAAGCCAATGTCTTGGTATCTCCAGTCTCTTTCGTCCAGCCATGTGGACTTCTTCTCCTTGGATGTCGAAGGCTCCGAGTTGGAGGTGTTACTCACCATGAACTTTAAAGAAGTCACTGTGGAAGTGTTTATGATTGAGATGCTGGAGAGATCCGAGTCTGACAAGCAGAGGAACTGGAAGGTGCTAAACCTGATGGCAAATCTTGGGTACTGCGAATGCCGCCGTGCGAAGATAAAGCACAGCGCTCTTTTTGTCCGGGAGCACGGGCCATTTTCAAGCAAATGTGCGTGACTCGGGTTCTCGATGGACCGCCCTTCTGGAGGCCATGCTGGAAGTGACAAAACGCCTAGAATGCGCTGCCACAGTCTGCGGTTGCGGTCATTTGGTTTTCGGGTATCAGGAACTCCAATTGCTATCCCCCAGGATCTGAGCGAAGTCAGGGCGCAAAAAACATCGACAGGAGCATTTGGCTAAATCATGCACATGGCACTCATGTGAACATAATGGGCCAGTTCATCTGCTCGCACGAATGTCGTCTGGCGTGGTAAGTAATTATAAGGAGCCCTGGCTTCATGATTATTTTTCGACAGCTTCCTAAACCCTACTGTAGACCCCAAGCTTGATTTGCAGGCGGTAGGCGCATCAACAAAGTTTGGTGTCTGGTTGGTTTAGTGATGGTTGACACTCCCAGCATTCTCCTGCCCGTTTCAATCCAATTGCAATCCGGGTGTGGGAGCATACATTTGGGTTTCGGGTGTTTATAAGGCTCATACGAATCCATGTCCGAGATCTTGCGGCGTGGATCTTTCGTGCACTCTGCATGGGTTCAGTGCAGAGCAGCGAGCACAGCCTCCTGAGGCAATCTTACGACATCCCGGCCCTACTGTGTTTGGCTTCAGAGTTGTACTTGATTGTTTGTGGCAATCGTCTGTCTTAGATGGTGCTCAAATGGGCATGCTTGAGCGCTCTGTTGCGCACGACTCGTGTAAGCAGCGGCAGCAGCACTAAGAGTCGGCATAAGCGTGATCGCAGCAGTAAAGGAGTATATCGAAGTGGAATCTATGGATTCTATGGTCTTGCACCCATGGCCTTTGATTACACATGCTCGAGCCTTGCCCATACTTGTACCTGAGTCAAAGGGTCCGAGGCATGGAGCCTTCCGGGTTCGAAAAGTCAGGTTCACAGTGCCAGCCCTTAGAGTGAGTACTTGACTTAAAGCACTAAAAGCACTTGAAACAACGAGGTGGTTAGCTTCCTATCATGTGCTCTGGTTTGCTGAGTGCTTCGGGCCTTCCCTAGACGGCAAGTGAACAGTGCAACAGTGCTTCTCATGGTAGTGGACTCGTGATTGAGGGCCCACGCTTCAGGGACGCCACTTTTGCGGGGATCTACGGCGGTAAACCCCTGGCAGTACTTGCTGAGCTTTTGTAGGAGGTTCGGAATCTCATTCACCGTAAATGTTAAGTTACGTTGTTACATTCACATTAGTGCAACTGCCAGGACCCTGATTCGGGGCCAACTACACTTCCTCGTGGGTAGTACATGGAGGTCCAACTTTCAGCCTTCAACGTGCTGTTAGCACACAGGTCTCAGCTTCTTGCAAGAGGAGCGGTGCGCCTGGCACTTGGACTTGGGCTCTCCAGTCGTCGCAACTTCCTGCAAGAAACTCCTCTCCTTCTCCTTACAAGATCGGGTTATCATACAGTGGTCAGAATATTTTTTTACTGGAGGCCAACTGACCTCACAGAGCCATGCCACAAACACCAGCTGCTGGAGCAGCAGTGGACGATCCAGATAAAGAGCCGACAAGCAGAACAAGACGCCCTGAGTCCGTGATGTCGCAAAACCCAAGCTCCGCTCAATGCAGGAACTTGAGCCCGCTTCGCCTGACCCACAACCCCAACCCCTAAACCCTAAACCCATCAGACCGTACCCGCCATGCCTGCTTTGCGAGTGTGTGACTCGAAACCCATTTGAGAGGGTTTGCGGTGATGGTCTTAGACTTGGTTCCTGGGGCTTGCTTTGGCGATGGGATGGTGTGCCCTGTTTCACGCCGACTTCGCACCGTGGGACCTCGCCTGGCTTGTCCGAGTTGTGAGAGCGTAAACACTAACCACCTTCTCCCCTGCAACGTCACACCTGGCCCTGCGGTGCAGAACTGGCGTCCGACAGGCCATGTAGAACCTTATGTCTGGACCATGAAGCTAATCTAGGGGCCTACAATTACCTACATGATTTTTGGGGGGTTCTTATTCTATAGGCATAGTACACCCCAACTGTAAGCTTCAATTCTTAAAGCCCTTGTATTCTAATAGCAGCCGCCTGTCCAACTTGTAACCCCACAGAAGAAGCGACATCCTGCAACCCTTCCACCCCAAGCTCGAACTGCACCGTCAATTTTGCCCTGAACCCGTGAGGCGCCGAAAAACAATGAAACAAATCCCAAGATCGTCAAATCCATCAAGCGCCTGAATTCCCGATTTTCTCGACGTCCTACAATCCCCGACGCACCCGCAAGCCCGACTCGTGGAGAAGTCAGGAGAAGAACAAAGGAAGGAGAAGCCCCGAACATCTGCCATGGGCGCTGCCAGCATACAGCATAGAGCTTCTCACATGCAGCTATGGCAGTAAGCCTGGCTAATACCAAAGTTGTTGCAGAACAAGTTATAAACCTTCGGAGCGAGACGGAGGGGGAGCAACCTACCAACAATGTCACATTCGTTTGGGATCCCTGATCAATTTATGCCATTTTATACCCCAGCAAAGGTCTAAGTGTTAAGACAACTATACGAGTCAGACTTATGGTGTGCAGCCCCAACATGGCTAGAGTGCGGCTAGAGCTGACAAGGTGTACACACGGGCACCACCACCAAACTCGCCTGGAGCTCAGGACCGGACGAGAATCGGAAATCATTCCAGTACTCGTCTGGCATAATCGTATGCAAAATCAGGTCCGAGCTAAATGTAAACGATGTGGTGCCATAATAGTCCCACCTCATGACGCAAGTGGCGTTGGGTACACATCCCCGTGCCCCGGCGTTTGTGAGGAGACTTGAGCATGCAACGCCAGAGATACAGGACCTCTTTGCTGCCAGCTTCCCAGAAAGAAAGGGAGCGACTCATTGAGTGGGATGCTTGCTAAGGGTGAGCTGCCACGACGGACGCATTTATGAGGCCTGGGTGGGCCAAGCTGACGCCAGTGGAACTTGGGCGCTTAGGATTGACTCTAAAGTGTCATTATAATGTAGGGGCCTAAAAACCATTACCAATGCTACTTTAGGGGTTCCTTGGTATAATTATAGTAAACTTGGCCCCAAAACCCTATTCTACTCATAAAGGCGCCCCTACATTACAGGCCTTGCGAGTCTAGGCGTCGGTTTTATATTTCTGTCACTTCTGTCAGAGAATCCTTGGGTTGTCGACTTCGATGCCCGATTGGATTTGGGCATAGGCATTCAAAAAATTGATAAGCATCTTAAAAAATGTTGATAAACACCCTAAAAAATCCCAAACCCTCCATGTTTTTCTTGATGCCTATCATTTTGTTGACGACTACCGTCTAAAGCCTAAACCCTTTTATCATTTTTTTAGATGCTTATCATTTTTTGATGGCTACCGTGGTAAATTTTGTTTTGATGCTTGTCATTTTTTTTTGATTGGTCACCCTTGGATTTGCGTTACAGGGAGATATGACAAACAGAGGGCAGTCTTGAATCATCTCCCACCCGATTCCTGGTAATGTTATGTTACTGTTTTATATTCGGACCGCACTGTTCAGCCTCAAGCCTAGCAAGTTCAAGTTCCTCATCCCCGTGCCTGTGTGTGACGCCTGGCAATGTCGGGTAATTCCCGTACAGACCGCACGAAGAGCAGAAGCAAATCCTCAAGTTCCAAGACATCTGGCACTTCCTTGTGCGGGCTTGACGCATGACAGGTTGATCTTTGCGACAGATTCAAATGCACCGGGCGCCTGGCTCGAGAAGACTGGGTGACTTTATATAGTGTTTCGGAAATTTGAGCTTAAGATAGTTTACGGGATGGCATGGCCTTTCTGAAGACGTCAATTCGCAACTCGTGCGGTTGTCTAGGAAGTAGAAATCACGACAGGATGTAACATTCGTCTTTGATGGCTTGTGTACTTGCCCGTCGAATCTTATCGAACGTAGCACCCCGAAGCCCGACAGTCCTTACAGTCCCATGTGAATCTCCAACGAGCATATTGCTGTGAACCCAGAATCCTAAAAGAGTTCGTGTATCCAGTGCAACTTGGGTGCTCAACATAATTACTGCAGCGGCCGGCCGCTTGCACTTGAAGCAGCAACAGCTGACGACCAATGACCTACTGTCATGATTACATGTTGCGCACAGATGCAAAATTAAATACGCAAACAAGTAAACATAAAATAGATACATATTTACATATATATATATACATATATGTATATATATATATATGTATGTGTATATATATATATGTTCGTATGCATATATCTCTGCATGTATGTATGTATGTGTAGATATATATATATATGTATATATATATATGTAATTTATATTTATTTGTCTATTTATCTACATAGTTCTTTATTTATGTTTTTAGTTTTCTGTTCATATGATACGCATGCAAATGCACATGTATGTACATGCAGGCATGCAGGCATACATGCCTACATACATATGTTTTTTTGCAGCAGCATGTGCATCATTGTATGTCTATGTGTCATATTAACTGGCCATGTCCAAGTGTGTTTATTTATCCATGGCCTGTGCGCAAAAGCCATACGGATTCGAGCAGAACATGTCCAGGATCGTACCAGTGGCCACTCATTCATGCTGTTAGGAATCCCACTGTGTGTGACTGCTTAGCTGAGGGCTTGCAGAATGCTTCGTGAACCCAAAGCCCGAAGGCTTTAAACTCCCTGGATCTGATATCCAGCAGCCCTGAAGTCCAAAAGTCTGCAGCCCTATAACCTGAGTTTGGGGTTTGTTTGTCGTGTCGCACACGAACTTTGGCCGTGGCGCATTGGCTTTGGGCGGTAGAGGTAAGGCAAGTTGACTGTAGGATGCCTGCTGAGGCTCAGGTCTCATCGTCTAGAGCTTCCAGAACGTGTATGTGCATGTGTCTGTACATATACATATATTATGCACATGTACATATATGTATGTATATGCGTATAAATACGTATAAATATGAACATTAATATTAGTAGTAATGTTAATATTCATGTTAATATTAATACTGATATTAATATTAATATTAATATTATTATTATTAATATATATATATATAT